GAAATGAATGACTAAGGTGACTGCACGGTGGTTTATATGATGTTCCTCTGGAGACTTGTCATCAGTACATCCAGTTAAGAGGACTTATAAATGTTTGCCACCACTCTTTTGTCAGTTTGTTGTACTGCAGTAGCTTGTGTCTTGCTCTCAGGCTGAAGGCTATTCCACCAGTTTTTCAGATACCAGCAGGGTCATCCGCGGTGGACAGGTTTCAGTGGAGCTTCCAGACGAAGACAGACTGGGAGGAAAGACAGGGTCATCCACTTTTGAAAAAACTGCCCACTGAAAACCTTATGATTAGCAAAGAAACCACAATCTGATTTATTACTAGAAAACTTTATGAATAGTCATGAAACATCGTTTGATAAGTATCCGAAGATGAGCCCCTCTTCATTTTGGGATGACATCAAGAACATGATACATATTTGGAAGGCACTCAGAATACGACTGAGGAAGAGAGTCAGCCTTTAGTGAAATTGATGGAATAAAGCTTTTGGAACCTTCATTTGCTCATGGGGTGCAACTCACAATGGGAAGAAACAGCTTGCAAACATTCATTAATAATTGAAACATGGAATATACAAAGTATGAATCTAGGAAAATTGGAAGTAGTCAGAAATGAAATGGAACAGATAAAGATCAATATCCTAGGCTTAGTGAGCTGAAATGGACTGGAATTGACTATTTTGAATCAGACAATCATATGATCTATGCCGGGAATAGCAAATTGAAGAGGAGTGGTATTGCATTCATCCTCAAAAAGAAATTGGTGATTGTAATGAGAAAGTTGGAAACAAAGTAGTGTTGGTAGTTGGAAAATACGGCCTTGGTAACAGAAAGAATGCTGGAGACCACATGATAGAATTTTGTAAGACCAACGATTTATTCATTACAAATACCTCCTTTCAACAACATAAATGGCAGCTATACACATGGACCTTGCCAGATGGAATACACAGGAATCAGATCAATTGCATCTGTGGAAACAAGCAGTGGGGAAGCTCGGTATCACCAGTCCAAACAAGGCCAGGAGCCGACGGTGGAACAGACTATCCATTGCTCATATGCAACTTCAAGTTGAAGCTAAAGAAAATTAAAATAAGTCTATGAGAACCAAAATACTACCTTGAATATGTTGTTGTTGTTGTTATGTGCCTTCGAGTCGAACCCAACTCATAGCGACCCTTTCTTGGGTTTCTGAGGCAGTATCACTACAGAAGTAGATTGCCTCATCTTCCTTCTGGGTTTGAACCGCCAGCCTTCTGGTTAGCAATCAAATGCCTTAGCCCTTCTGAATTTAGAGACTGAAGAATAAATTTGGCACATTAAACACCAGTGATTGAAGACCAGACCAATTGTGGGATGACATCAAGAACATTATACATGAAGAAAGCAAAAGGTCATTAAAAAGACAGGAAAGGAAAAAAAGACTAAAATGAATGTCAGATAAGACTCTGAAACTTGCTCTTGAATGGAAAGTAGCTAAAACAAATGGAAGAAATGCTGAAATAAAATACCAAATTTCAAAGGCAGCTCAAGAAGACAAAGTAGTATAATGAAATGTGCAAAGACCTAGAATTAGAAAACCCAGAGGGAAGAACACACTCAGTGTTTCTCAAGCTGAAAGAACTGAAGAAAAAATTCAACCTCAAGTTGCAGTGCTGAAGGATTCTTTGGATAAAATTTTTAACGATGCAGTAAACATCAAAAGAAGATGGAAGGAATACACAGAGTCACTATATCAAGAAGAATTGGTCCAATATCCATCTTATTTCAGGAGGTAGCATATGATCCAAGAACCAATGGTATTGAAGAAAGAAGTCCAAGCTGCACTGAGGGAATTGGCAAAAAACAAGGCTTTAGGAATTGAGAGAATACCCATTGAGATGTTTCAACAAACAGATGCATCACCGGAGGCCTTACTCATTTATGCCAAGAAATTTGAAAGACAGCAGCCTGGCCTACTGAGTGGAAGAGATGGATATTTGTGCCCATTCCAAAGAAAGGTGATGCAACAGAAAGTGGAAATTATCAAACAATATCATTAATATCATATGTAAGTAAAATCTTGCTGAAGATAATTAAAAAAACGGTTGCAGCAGTATATTAACAAGGAACTTCCAAAAGTTTAGGCTTAATTCATAAGAGGACATGGAACTGCATGGGAAAAACAAAAAGCTACCCTATAAGGGGCAACCAGTAAGACTAAGCTCGGATTTCTCAGCAGAAACCATGTAGGCGGGAAGACAATGGAATGGTATATATAAAACCCTGAAAGAGAAAAATTTCCAACCAAGAGTTATATACCTGGCAAAATTGTCGCTCAAATATAATGGTGAAATTAGGACATTTCTAGATAAGCAGAAATTAAGGGATTTTGTTAAAACCAGACCAACCTTACAAGAGATGCTAAAGGTAGTCCTTTGGATAGAGAACCAGCAACATCCAACAACAACTGACCATTAATACACATGATGACATGGGAAAAAAAAAAAAGGGGGGGACATAGAACAGGGGATATCATTACTTATGTCAGATGGATCTTGGCTGAAAGCAAATAATACTAGAAAGAAATCTACCTGTGTTTTATTGACTGTGCAAAGGCATTAAACTGTGTGGATCATAATAAATTATGGGTAACATTGAGAAGAATGGGAATTCCAAACACTTAATTGTTCTCATGAGGAACTATACATAGACCATATATAGAACAAGGGGGTACTCTGGTTTAAAATCAGGAAGGATGTGAGTCAAGGTTTTATCCTTTTACCATACTTATTCAGTCTGTATGCTGAGGAAATAATCCAAGAAGCTGGACTATATAATATAAGAAGAGCATTGCGTCAGGATTGGAGGAAGAAACATTAACAACCTGCAATAGGCAGATGACAAAACCTTGCTTGCTGAAAGTGAATATGACTTGAAGTACTTACTGATGAAGATCAAAGACCATAGTCTTCAGTATGGATTACACCTCAACAATATAAAGAAAACAAAAAACCTCACAAATGGACCAATAAGTAATATGATAAATGGAGAAAAGATTGAACTTGTCAGGGATTTCACTTTACTTGGATCTACAGTCAACACTCATGAAAGCAGCAGTCGGGAAATTAGACCTTGTGTTGCACAGGGAACATGTGCTGCAAAAGACCTCTGTAAAGGTGTCACTTTGAAGACTATGGTTTGTCTAATCCAAGCCTTGGTATTTTCAGTAGCCTCATACGCATATGAAAACTGGACAATGAATAAGAAATACTGAAGAAGAGTTGATGCCTTTGAATTGTAGTGTTGGTGAAGAATACTGAAAGTACCATGGACTGCCAGAACAAAAAAGAGTTGGATTGACACAGTGGTTGCAGTGATGGACTCAAGCATAGCAGTGATTGTGAGGAAGGTGCAGGAGTGGGCAGTGTTTCATTCTGTTGTATGTAGGGTCGCTATGAGTGGGAGCTGACTCAGCAGCGCCTAACAACAACAGCAAGAATTTGAGTGATTTCTGTATAATCAGGAAAATTTTGAACTGGAGATTAACCGAAAAATTGAAAGCAAATAACAGATAGAATATATTACTGAAGTGATAAGAGTGAGTATGATTGCCCACATGGCATGTAGAGCAAGAGAAGATAATCATGGACAAAATTCTGATGAATGCCTTCATGCAAAGAACAGGTAAAAGGCTAAGAAGGACCAGGAAATTTTACAGAAAACAATGAAAGAGAATTGCATTTTTAAAAAAATTATTTAAGAAATCCAACAATGACATGCTGCAGGTAAGTCAAGGGAGATAGTAAATAAAGGCAGTACTTTGGATTTGATATTTAGAAGGTAATTGTTAGCTTTTGCTGAGACATAATAGAGACTATGAAACTTAAGTCCTTAATTTTAATGGTTTGTGTAATAAATTTGAATGATAAAAAGTTTTCTTATAGTCACTTTGAAAGAAAGGAGAAGAGGTAGTAACTAGAAAAGATGGATGGTCCAGAGAATGGTGGGAGTGATTTTGTGTATATGGGAGACATTTTTAGGGTTTATTTAGTAAGCTTCAGGGGTAAAGCCAGCAGAATACAAAAGAGTGAAAATTTGAGAGTGTGAGTGATGAAGCAAGCTCCCAAGTTCTTCTTAAACTTGAAGAACCATGTGAATGGATTACCTTTGAGGACAAGAAGACAGGATGAGCATGGATGCAAATGTAGTTAAGATTCTGAGAGTCTTAAGTGGTTTTTTTTTTTTTTCTGGTGTAAGAAGCAAGATCATCTTCTGGCCTCTGGACCAACAGCAGTGACAGCAGTGTAGGAAATTTGAGGGGAGGGTTTAAAATAGTCACAGAAGAGAAAAGAAGTGGTTGCTAATAGGAACAATGAAAAAGACTGATCATCAACATTGAAAGCTTCTCCGAGTCAAGTGACCAAAATTTCATGGCAGCAGTCTTCATGGTAGTATGATTTTGTTTGTTCATTTTTTTTAATATTTATTTCATCTCTAGCTTCCTGGCTGTAGAAGCAGAGAATGTGAACCATTAGGTGCTGACAAAATATGGAGGGAAAAAGTAATGTTGAAGGTGTTACCAAGGAAATTGTTGTTGCAGCAGTATGTCTATTGAACTAATATAAATGCAGTTAATAGACACAGTAGTTCAAAAGTCTAATCATGTAGGGCTGGAAAAAGTTGATTAAGGAAGATAGAAACTAAAGCAGTGGATATTAGTCTCTTTTTACCCCGGTTGACCACAAGAGGGATATGAAATATCCACTCAGATATGCAGGCTGACTGTATATGAGTCTCCAGGTGAGTGAGGACTAAATAAAGATAACCAAGATAACAGAGACCTAAAAAGGTGAGGGGAGAGATCCATATCCATTGTATACATATATTTTGATTATCCATGTTCTTTAACTCTTCACTAATGCTCTTGAAAAAACTACTATGAAAGTATTTAATTTCATCCTTTTTTTTGTATGTGTTTCAGGTTTTTTATGTTTGTTTTGTTTTATTTTTAGGCTTTCTGTGAAACTTTAGAAGAAACAAACTACCGCTTACAGAAAGAACTACTTGAAAAACAAAAAGAGGTGGAATCACTGAAAAAACTGCTCAATGAGAAGCAACTTCATATAGACACTATAGAGAACAGAATCAGGTATGTTGTGATACTTGCAATTTTAGTCTCATTAATTCAGTTGCTAATGCTCTGGGTCAAATGCCTTTTTTATTTTAATATGATATGGGAAATTTCTGCTTCTGAAAGTTGTAGACACTTGGCATACTTCCCTGCTTTTGGAAAAACTGTCTTGATGATTTATTTCGGCTGAACATTTGAAGGGTGGGAAACATTCAGAAAATTAACCTCAAGCTATTCAACAAAATAAGCATTACTCATTTTAGTTTACTTTAATGATATCTTTGTTTCTGGGAATTTATGCTGACTTTTCACATATAAAAGCAGGAAATGTGCAAGACTGCTACCTGGCCAACTGACTAGAAGAGATCCATATTTGTACCCATTCCAAGAAAGGTGATCCCACAGAATGTGGAAATTATCCAACAATATCATTAATATTATACACAAGTAAAATCTTGCTGAAGATAATTCAAAGACAGTTGCAGCAGTATATTGACAGAGAACTTCCAGAAATGCAAGCTGGATTCAGAAGAGGACGTGGAATGAGAGATACCATTTTTGATGTCAGATGGATGTTGGCTAAAAGCAAAGAATACCAAAAAGGTGTTCCTGTGTTTTATTGACTATGCAAAAGCATTCGATTATGTGGATCATAACACTGAGAAGAATGGGAATTCCCAAACACTTAATTGTGCTCATCAGGAATCTATACACAGACCCAGGAGGCTGTTGTTTGAACAGAACAAGGGGACACTGCATGGTTTAAAATCAGGGAGTGCATCAGGGTTGTATCCTTTCACCATACTTGTTCAATCTGTATGCTGAGCAAATAATCCAAAAAGCTGGACTATATGAAGAGGAATATGGCATCAGAATTGGAAGAAGACTCATTAACAACCTGCAATATACAGATGACACACTTCTTGTTGAAAGTGAGGATGACTTCATCTTACTGATGAAGATTAAAGACTACAGCCTGCAGTATGGATTACATCTTAACATAAAGAAAATGAAAATCTCACAACTGGGCCTATAAGTAGTATTACGGTAAATGGAGAAAAGATTGAAGTTGTCGGAGATTTTGTTATTACTTGGTTCCACAATCAAAATCAGTGAAAGCAGCAGTCAAGACATCAGAAGACATATTACACTGGGCAAATCTGCTGCAGAAAACCTCTTTAAAGTGCTGGAGAGCGTAGATGTCTCTTTGAAGACTGAGGTGCACCTAACCAAAGCCATGGTGTTTTCAGTCACCTCATACGCATGTGAGAGCTGGTCAGTGAATAAGGAAGACCAAAGAAGAGTTGATGCTTTTGAGTTGTGGTGTTGGCAAAGAATACTGAAGGTACCATGGACTGCCAAAAGAAGTAACAAATCTGTTCTGAAGAAGTGCAGCCAGAATGCTCCTTGGAAGCGAGAATGGCCAGACTTCGTTTGACCTGCTTTGGTTATGTTGTCCGAAAGGACCATTCCCTGGAAAATGGTATCACCTTTGGTAAAGTGAAGGGCTAATGAAAGAGGGGAAAGGCCCCCAAAGAAGTAGACTGACACAGTGGCTTTAACGATGGTCTCAGGTATACAAGTATTGTGAGGCTGGCACAGGACTGGGCAGTGTTTCTTTCTATTGTCCATGGGATCGCATGAGTGGGAGATGACTCAGTGGCACCTGACAACAACAATGAAGTTTGCCTTCTCATCAGCATATATTCAATTGATGCTAGAATTATTTTGAATTATTCATAAGTACTAATTTCTCTACTGACTCCCAGACTTAGTAATTGTTTAGCTAAGTTGACATGACTCATTGTGACCCCCTTTGGGTTTCTGAGGCAGGCAGTAAATCTTTACAGAAGTAGATTGCCTAGTCTTCTTCCACAAAGTGGCTGGTGGGTTTGAACCGCCAGCCATCTAGTTAGCAGGCAAATGCCTTAGGTACTGTGCCACCAGAGCTCCTTACATTAAAATTTACCAGCTGAAAACTACTAAAGCCCCATGTATTCACAACAGTAAACTAATACCTGTTTTATGCATATAAAATAACTTGTTCTTGTAATTTATTTTTAGAACATTGTCTTTAGAACCTGAAAAATCAAAGTACATGTCAGGAACAGAAGGTGGACAAATCCTAAAGGTGGAGTCCTCTATACTTGAGTCTGATCAAGGTGTCTTGGATGAAGAATCTAGGTATGTAAAATTTTATTATAGCAGGAAATGGTTCTGCGTTAGTTTTGTTTTGTTTTGTTTTTTATGAAATCAGTTTTATTTTATGCATGTTCTAAACAATCAGGGAAGGAGTATAGATCCTCTAGTCTCTCCCTAAAAATGAGTCTCAGGCATCCAGGCTGTATAAGCCATAGCTTTTTGCATTACTTACTTTGAAGCGATGCCTGTGTCTGAACTGAGCTCTGGCTTATTCTTTAGTTAATTTAGTAAATCTTGACAAAATAATCTTCATTCAAAAAGTAGGACACTATAATAGCAACCACCCCACCTACCTAATAGGAATGATGAAAAAACAGTATAGTAGAATTTTTATTTCATATAAATCCAAGGCATTTGTTAATACTTTAGGTAGTGGTGGTTAAGCTATAATTATGAGAACAAATTTTATGTTGATAAAGGTAATTAAAAATTGGATTTTTATTGGTTAATGGTAGTTTGGAGATCTAAGAGTAAAGTGATAGTGAAGTGAAACAGCATTCATCCTGTCCCTTCATTAGATATATTTCTCTTTTTTTCCAGAATTGATAATAAGCCGTGCCTGAGTTACAGTAATCCTGAAAATACTGTATCAGAGATAGAAGTAGCCGAAGTGGCATATAATGCTGAAGAAGACTAATCCATCTCAAGCATTTCCCTCAATTTTGACATTTCAGTAAATTTAGAATCGAATGACAAATATTTTTTAAAAAATAGGACTGTAAAAATTTACAGAAAAAGGCAAGAATGCACATGTATAGTTTACATAAAGAAAAATATTTAAATTATTGACATAGGAAATACAGTCACTGCTGCTTTTAAGCATCTCTTACCCAGCTTCTGTATTCAATACACTAAAAAAAAAAAAAAAAATCTAGTTAAAATTCTTTTACCAAGGCTTGTATTCTCAAATACTGTACATAAATGATAATGATGTTTTGCTACTATGTTTTGCTCCAAACTAACATGTATTTTTTTTTTAAATCACCAATTACATTAATCAAATAGAAATTAATTGCATGTTTCTATTTGGGTGATATATATGTCTTTGTATGTCTAGCATGATTTATTTTCATTAATGGTTTAAATTAAGGAACATCATAGTAAAGATAAATACAAGTTGAATTGTAAATGTTGACATTTTTACCATTCCTAAATGGTTATTTGGAATGTTCATGCTATTTAAAAGAAGAGGAAATGACTTTCTAGTACCAAAGAAAAACCTATTTGAAAGAGCTGTAATCACAAAGCTGAATGATAAAAATAGCCTTAATTTAAAAAGCTAATTCACTGATATCAAGGTACCATGCCCCAATTTACAATAGTATGTTATATATTATCCATATAATTTTAATCATAAATCTTTACCTGTATGATCCGTGAGTTTGCGTTTTTCAGAACACTACCTCTTTTCCTAATCAAGGCATACTCTTGAAAACATATTACAGATTCTAAGCAAATAGGGAGTTACACAAAAAGAAAATAAAACAAAAAGCCATATATATTCTTCTAAGTTCCTAGCTAGGTCATTTCCTCTGGCATTGCATTTTTATTTGTATATATGTGAAGATATTGTTAAACGTATTATGGCTTATTTTCTTTTCAATATATTTAGCCAAGTGATGCACTTTATGATAATTAAACTCTTTTGTGCCAAGTTTAATTGGTGAATTCCTTTAGTAAGTGAAGTTAGGAGAAGGAATTATGTAGTGCCTTTACTCTTTCACATTTTACAAAAATGTCCTAGGGTCTTTGAGTCAGCTTTATGAAAACGTTTTCTGTTTATTTCAGCTTTGCATTTAGTTATTGAAAGTGCCTTGTTTCATTTTTATAGGAAAAAGTTACTGATTTATTTTCTAGTTCTGCAGTTTCACCTTTGGCCATTAATATGCATTGTAGTCAGGCTAGCATTTTGAAATCTCTTGGTATATTGAACAGCATATGCTTTCTGAAAACTGAGGGAAATAGCAAACAATCTCTTTTTTTTTTTTCTTTACTATATAAAAGTTTATCAATACTGTTATGTGTCACTTAACATCCACAATTTGTTCTGTGACATTAGTTGTTAAGTCATTTGAACGTTTGAACATCATATTGTAGTCTGGTCCTGCTTTTCGTTTAAGCATCTTGAACGAGCTTCGTGCCTTAGCAGTGATGGTCAGTGTGCTCAGAGGGATTCTCTTTTGTGTTTAGTCCTCAATCCATATCATTAGCAATTTCTCCATATCTAGTATAGATCCTTCTCACATTTTCATTAGTCTTGTAGCTTTCAGTGGAGCCAATCCTTTTAATAGCTTGGAGAGTATTTTCTTTGTTTTTGAGGATCTTCCTGACTGTCAAGTGCAACAGGCCTAATTCAGGAAATAGCATTTACTGATGTTCCTACCTTCATATTGTTTAATAACCTTTTGTTTTACTTCCAAATCGATATTCTCCTCTGCCTCTTGTTGCTGCTATCACTAGCACTAGTTTTGCTCATTTGGGAGCCATGATATACTTCACAGTAATATTTTTGAAAGAAAATTAAATAACACTCAGGAGATGCACAGTGCACGAGATTGGATGCTGCTCCTTACAAATCAAAGCATACACTGTTAGTTAACCTTTTAGATAGAACGTACACTACATTACATACATAACACCAGTAACACAGGTGTTTATTATGGCTATCAAAACCTATGTATAAATATACACCACTGTACATCTGGCAGCACAATTACTTTGTATACAAGAGACATGAAATACATGTGTTGTGTGTGAGAAGCTGTTGCATTTGCTATGGCCTATTTCTCTGATTAAGATTTGTGAACTCTTTTATATAACATTGTGGGACCATGGATGTATATGCACTCAGATATTACCTGAATAGATGTTATGTGGTGCATGACCGTATCTTGATGTACATAATAAGATGTGGTGGTTTAAAATTCTACTGATAGAGATCAGCATGTCCAATGGCTTTTGTTAACCTTTGATGTGAAAAGGAAACTAATTTTTACCAAAGTAGCAAAATTTCTGAAGCCTTTTGTCATGCTCTGTCTCAACATTTTTCACAAAGTATATGTTAGAAACATGTTTACTATCCTTGGAGAAAAAAATGAATATAATAAAGTGGTCTACTTGTTTATTTAAAAAATGCTGTTCTAGATGGTTCAAAAGGTTTTAAAAGAACAATCATTTAAATTGATTAATACTGTTTTCAATCTAATAAAATGATGATTTTTGCGAAATTCTGACATTATAGTGCTATATGTCTGTCTTAAAGTGAACCATACACTTAAAATCTGGCCTTTCAAAAGATCATATTTTAAGTTTTAGATGGTGGAAGAATAACTCTTAATTATAAACTACTATTTATATTTAAAGTTTTTTTTTTCACTTTTATAATGCATTTTATTCCCAGTATTATATTCATTTAACAATTATTTTTTCAGTACAGTAGAAGCTATGTTGTTCAGATATTGAATATCTTTTTCTTCCTCCAATTTCTGTGTTCTTGTCCCTATCCCGTTATTACCATAAATTAAGTTATATTTAAGTGCTGCATTTCACAGATGTGGAATGAATCTGTGATTTTCTTTTACATTTATATATTATGTTACTGATAATTTTAAGGCTTTGTCAATAGGTGCAATGCACTTCAAATGTAACCAATATTAATTTAAAAGATTAAACATAACTGAACCAGAAAAATACTTTTGTGGATAATGTTTTCACTTAACCTTTTAAGATTTAAGTTCACATATAGGTAGTTCAACCATGAAACCTAGCATTATATATTGTATTTTAATACATATTTTAAACATATTTTGTTACTTATTCAAAATATATTTATCTATTAACTACTCTGACATTAACCATTCAAAAGGACATTTAGAAAACTATGTTTCTCAAATAAGTAATCTGTGTAGCCTAGTTCAACTGTCTTGTGATACTAGGACTGAACAGTGGCATAAGTAAAAATAATGCATGCCTGTGCTTTTAAAGTGGGTTTTATCACTAATAAAGGTAGAGAAGTTTCTGGATTATTTTTAACCAGTGTATATCCCCAACTCGTATAGAGAGGAATCTAAATTTTATCCTCTAGGAGATCTTCAGAGAACTACATATTTATTCCATATTTTCCTGTTCATTAAATTATTTTCACTGCAGTGTACTTGCTATCATGCATCTCTACTGTTGTCTTCTATTAGGAAAAAACAGTCATCAAAACTTGTGTTTTTAATCTGTGTTTTAAAGCTATTAGCTACTTTATCACATTAAAAAAAAAAAAAAACTTCCTGCCATGGAGTCAGATCCGACTCATAGTGACCCCTCCTTGGGTTTCCAAGGAGATATCACTATGGAAATAGATTGCCCAACCTTCCTTCTGAGGAGTGGCTGGTGGGTTTGAACCTCCAGTCTTCTGGTTAGCAGTCAAATGCCTTAGTCACTACGCCACCAGAAGACCTATGGGAGAATATTCTCTTAGGTCTCCATACCAGTAAAACTGTGCTTCTCCTAAACAATTCATTTGTTTTAATCTTAAAGACTCAATTGTTAAATAGGTTTTGCCTTTTGGTCACCTTTAAGACAAATTATTGCTCATTTTTTATGCTTTGTGTAGTAATCATGACTTTTATTTTCTCTTTTATTTTCATTAATTCTGACTTTCTTCCCTATTTGATTTATCCTGTTAGAACATAAGTAATTTTGTTCTGATAAAGTCTTAGACTTTAGAATATTCATCTTAGACTACATTTAGGTAAGAATTTGTCAAAGCCTTGTACTTAATCTAACAATCATTGCCCCCACTAAGTGATACCAGTAATTACATAAAGCTAAATTATTCTTTTTTAAAAAAAATGCTTTTACCAAACAAAAGAAATGCATATGAGCTGAACATTTATTACATTAGGTAGATACACTCCTTGGAGAGATCAGTCATGGAAGAATAGAAGGGCTGTGTATGCACAGGGGGGCAGGAGTGCATGGAGGAAAAGACTAGAGAAGAGGTAAGTAACTATGGGGAGGAAGTGGGCGGGGAGCTGTTGTATTGTGGTAAATTGTAGTCAATGTCATGAGACAAAATGTATGTGAGCTGCTGTATGGAATGTGAATTTGCTCTGTAAACTTTCACCCAAATCACAATTTTAAAAAATTCAGGTAAAATCAGTGAATATGGAACATAAACTTAGAAAATCTAGTGGCAAGCTTTTTGGCCAGAGCACTATACTAATATTGTCATCATTTTAACCACAGCCTGAAATTAAAACAGACCCCCAACTTGCCATTTACGTATATTTATCATTAACAGAAAAGTCAATCAATGTCATTATCTCCACACACAAAGAAACCAACATCAACAAGAAAACAATAAAGCCAGTGTTGTTGTTATGTGCTATCAAGTCGGACCTGACTCAGCGACCCCTCCTTGGGTTTCTGAGGCAGCATCACTACAGAAGTAGATTGCCCAACCTTCCTTGTGAGGAGTGGCTGGTGGGTTTGAACCGCCAGCCTTCTGGTTAGCAGTTAAGTATGTTAGGCACTATGCTACCAGAGTTCCCAATATAACTTGGTAAATGAAAGGTAGTATGATATTATAATAGATACTGGTAAGACTATAAACCTTAAATGCTATCTTTAATGTTTCCAGACTGGCTAATTATAATCAAAGAAATGATAGGATTAGTGAGATGGTATCAAAAGTCCTGTGCTAAAATGTGAGATGTAAAGTTCCACCTTGACATTATTGAGCTTGTAACTCTGGAGGATTTACTCTCTAGAATTATTTGATGTCCTATTCAAGCTTTAAGTTATCCTCAGTTATTCAGTATAGCATCATTGTCTGTTGCCTAACCCACCCTCTTCTTTGCTACCTGAAAGACAGGAATTGGAAAAGCTAAATACTTATTTTCTCAGCTGTAGGTTTCAACTTAAGGAGCTCGTGGCATAGTGCCTAAGGCATTTGACTGTTAACCAGAAGGTTGGTGGTTCAAATCCACCAGCCACTCCACAGAAGGAAGACTGGGCAATCTACTGCTGTAAAAATTTACCGCCTTGGAAACCTGATGCAGGGGTCTCTATGAGACAGAATCAACTCGATGGCAGTGAGTTTGGTTTTTGTGGAGGTTTGGATTTGTGACACAGTTATGAACAGTGAGACAGCAGAAGTCTGGTGCGTTCTGGAGAGTC